TGCAGAAAGAAACTACAGAACAGGATTTGTTAGCAAACTAAAGCTCAGGTGTGTATGCTTCAAAATATTCTTGGTTCAGCCTGACCACACTAGTTTTGCTCACTATCAGCTATCTGAGAACAGATGTTAATACCTTTTTCATCATAATATATTAAGAAATTTCCCACAATGACATTATTAATTGTTCTTAATTCTTAAAATCTCAGTACCTGCAGTTTCTATTGAGGATTTATCCAAGCAAATTCCTATTTGATATTAAACAATAGTGTGTTTCCCAGCAGGAAAAAAATGCCTAATTACTTTACTCTGTTTTTTCCATGGCTGATTAATCCAACCCACAGGGAAGTTGCCTCCCCTGGGATGCCTCAACACAAACAGCCATAAATGAATTAACCACAATCGAACCCTCCCTTAGCCTGTTCAAAGCAATGTTTGCAGCAGAAGTGTATTTATCTCTGTGTATCACTATGAGTGACAGCAATTGAACAAAACAAGAGGTGGGAATAGACAGCTCTCCATAATATCCAGCTGAAAAACAAAATTGCTGCCAGATCTAGCGGAACTAGATTATCTCAATCCTCTAGGTAGGCTTTCAGCAGCCTCCAGCATCACCACATGCTTTAGGCAAATAAACTGTATCCCACACAGCTGTCCCAAGTTCCTTTCTGCAGGGAGCACTCGTGAGCCAGCTCTGCTCCACACACTCCTTGCTCTGGAGCTTGGGCCAGGCAGCAGAGCAGCAGGAAGGGGTGGACACATGTGAAGGCAAAGGACACTCTCAGCCTCTTTTATTTCTCTTCTGACTCACACTGCTCCTCTCTGCAGTGAAGCACAAGTGATGCCAGGGAAGCACCTTCTCCTCCTTCCAGACTTGGCAGTGTTGTGCCTTTTGGCACCTGCCAAATAGGGGTGATGTTATCAAAGCTGCTGATTCTGTGCCCATGGCAACAGAAAATGCAGTGACCTCCTCACCCTGGCTCTCTGACCACAACAGATTTACAGCTGAGACTGGCTAAAGCAGCTTTGCAACATGATGTAGTTGATTAGAAGAATGTCAAGGCTTAAAAGAAGGATCAGTATTATGAGACATCTAAATGTTCCTACCAAAAAAAAAAACCCCAGGTGTTTTCAGGAGTAGATTGGCTCTTGTCTGAGCAGCAAAAATTTGGCCAAAGACACTAAAATAGCCCCAGTTAAATCAGATGTCTTTAGGATGCCACTGCCAAGTCCTCGTAAGTAACAGCAAAGAATTTCACGACTTGGTGCAATGTAACCATGTAAGGGCAACTCTGTCCATCTTGTACAGTACAAGTACAGTTCATTCCCTTTCATGGCTCTCAAAGATCTGAACTATTCCTGTCCCAGGAAAACAAAGAACACTTTACATCACAATACTAGAAAATGCAACTGAAAATTGTTTTTTTAAAGGGACATATGTCCTCCCTTGTTAGGATTCTGCAGTTTTTATGAGACTCATGTGCTATTCAGTCTCATTGGTGAGGATAATGTGAACTTCAGGAAGCCTTTAGCACAGCACTAATCCATTCCCAACAGAATAAGCTGTTAGGATATGTCCCTAGAAGATCTCATGAGCTTATTTTGTCAGGAAATAAATAAAAGAGTCATTTGTTTCAATTTTTCAAAGTTCTGAAAACCAAATGGCAACAATCAGTGTTGCAAAGCAAAAACTATTCTAAATGACAACATGACTCTTAACTACTTAAACCAGGAGTGCAAATTTGGTACAGCTGTTTGCTGATGGGTTTAGATTGCTCAAGAAGACATCTGAGAGACCTCAAGTTCATCTTGAACTTTTAAGCTGTCAGTTCACTGTGCCTTATGGAGGAATTCCACTGGAATCCACATGGATGAAGAGAGTCTCAGGGGATTAGAAACAAGTCAACAGTATTTAAACTCTTTGGTAAACCAGGCATTTATCAGCAGTAAACAGTTAGTGGTTTTATTTAAAGTTCTACCCTAATGCCAAGGCAGAAGCAGCTAATTTAAGATATGTCATAAAAAAACATCAAGTCCAATTAAAACTTATCTCCTCTTACAGTGCACAAAGGAAAGTAATGAGGATTGGACATGTGCCAAACTGAAATCAATCCACTTTGGAGACTGTATTTGTCTTTCCAGAAAGTGTTTTCACAGATTTATCTGCTGGAAAAATGAATTATTTCTATGAGAAACACAACTAACAGCGTTATCCCCCTGCCTCTTTTTTTTTTTTTAAAGCATCTTTCATGGTTAACTTATATGTCAGAAGAAAATAGCTGAAAAATAAAGTGTGGGTTAATTTTTTTCCCCTGCCTGTAGTACTTAAAAAGTCTCTCCTGTGCTTTTTGTATTATTAAGTTCAACGCAAATTCAACATCAAACTTTTTTTGGTCTTTTTAGCTGAGTTTCCCCTTACTCAAAACATCTAGGAGTTTATCTTTTAAAAGTTCTATCAGCTCAGAGGAGCACTAGTAAATTCAAGTGTTATCAGTGGGAAGAGAGAATGTGCAGCCAAAGATGGTTTAGGTTATGGCAATGCTAAAAAGGACTCACAGCCTGCTGAGTTCTGACTTCTCTGCTGAAACTGCTCATGAAATAAAGGTTTGGTTATGTACTTCATTGTACCTATTGTGTCTTACACACTAAATCCTAATTTACTTTATGATTTGAAATAATACCTGATTCAAATGAAAAAAACCCACATCACACTCTAACTACACATTAACATGGCCTGATCTGCTAGGCTTAGATTCAATAGGTATCCATGGAGCCAAGACAGGATCTTCCAAAGAAATATGCTGCACTTTGACATGCCTGAGAAGGAAGAAAAATACAGACAAGGAGAAAGAGAACTACACTTGGGTAGTTCAGCCATTCTCCTTAGTTTAGCCTCTTACAGCCTCTCCTGAGAGAGGTCTGAGCCTTGTTTCCCACACTCACAGTAACTTGCAAACAAGTCAGAAAGAAGCCACATGGTGAGCAGCTCTACATGGTGAACAGCTCTCAGCATAAACAGGAAAGTATCACCAAACAGCCTCTATAACTTGAGAAAACTTTGAGAAAGCCTAGGCAGAGATTTGAGTATAGACAACTGCAAATGTTACCCTAGAGATGCCCATGCAGGAGGGAACCTCTCAGTAACTCTTGAGAACATGTGGATCAGAACACACAATCAGGACAGAATCTGTGTAGTTGTAGAAATTATGAAATTGGTAAAATGTGGCTGACAATGGAGATTTTCAGTACAATCTTATCATACTACCTCATCTGAAAACCAAACCTGTATATGACATTCTATTTAAATAACCATCAACTGACAAATAAACCTGCTGTCTGCAAATGAGATCTACCACCACAAAGTAGCACCTGGAAGAAACTACACAGCCCTTTCTCATATCCCTCCTTGCAAAACAAAAATCTGAGACATTATACCACCAGGAAAGATATCTTGCTTTCAAATCCTTGTAGAATTATAGCCTCAGTAAACCAGAAATCTCTTTTCCCAATAGAAATGCAAATTTTTTTTTTATTAGACACTTTAAAACACTGAAGTACAGTGTTTACCTCTTCTCTCTGCACACCCTTCCCCTATCCCATACCCACATCTTAGTGCCAACAGTTGTTTCTAGTTTTACACTTAGTTCAATTTTGATTGTTTCTGCAGCTAGCACAGGAAAAAAAGATTGTGGAGTGCTGCAGTTTATGGCAGTGCTAAAGGCTGTCAGGACATAACAAAGCTGTAACACTGCTGAGAGCACCATGGCCCAGCAGAACACAAGAGATTCCTGATGGTTCATTAGTGCAGCAGCAACCAAATGAGCACAGCACTTCCAAATGCAACACCAAAGACCAACATTAAGACCTGACTGGAAAAAAAAAAGGCCATAAAAAACCATATTCCTGTGTTTCTGGCATGTCTTGGCACAAAAAGCAGGAGCAAGTTCAGAGATGTCAGCAGATTCTTTAAACACTCCAGTTGGACAGTCCATCCATGGTCCATCCCTGCAGGATAACCACTCCTGTGTCCAAGCCACTGAAGTCAAACTCTGAGAGGAGCTTTCCAAAGTTTGATATCAACACAGTCTGAGCCAACAAACATCTTTCTTGCACAGTAACTACTACAGAAACTTTATGTCAGCAGAAAACCAACCAATTCAAGTTAAAACTAAACACCTGAACTACAACAGATAAAATCTTGAAGCAACTCTTGTCAAACTACACTATAAATGCTTCTGTGTTAGCTCAGAACCATGAAATGATAGAAAGAAGCCAGAGACTGGGAACCAGCAGATAAGACAGGCAATGTCAGCAAATGTAGAACCATTCAAATTTCTTCCTTCCTCCCTCAGTTCTGCTTGAAAGATAACACCTTCCCCCACCTCCATCAGCAGGTAGAGTCTATCCACCCATTAAAGGCCTTTAAAGCAATTTGTTAAAGCATTGCCAAATATTCAGATTTCTTTCTCCTTAAATTATTCCCCATTTCTCAACATCAAGGTCTTACATGAGAGCAAAAAGGTGAAACTAAGTCTCTCTCACATGGCAATCTGTTAGCACACCAGTTAGTATTCCTGGTTAGGTAGTTTTCTATGAACTCCTTTTAATAATACACTTCAAGAACGTGTCAATGGCAGAATAAATACTGTGAGTCTCCATCAGCAGAACATCCACTAAACTTTGATATCTCAATGAGAAGAATCCCCTTAGTTCTTCCAGTGAAAAAAGCAGCAAGCCAAAATGTTCCATTACAGATCAAGAAAAGGACCTGTGTTGCAATTGCAACACTTACTAAATCTGGAAGAGAAAGATGAGAGTGAATCAAAGAGTGAAGTGGAAATTCATGTGTTTCAATTCTGGCATTGCTTTACAAGCTGATTTGTTTTAAGAATTCGCAATAAGGATCTGTCTATTTTTTTAAGACACATTTCTAAGTCTTTGAAGCCTAACTATAATAAATCCACTGATGGTTATGACTTGAACAAAAAAGACACAGCATAATATAGATGTTAAGTGTTTATTTCATATCACGTGGCCCATACTGGAGTTTCTTCAGTTAGAAGTTCCTGGAAGAAAATGAAAAAACACTGTTACAAACCAGTTTGCTTCAACAGCTCAAATAAATACTTTAGACCAACAGTGTAATCAGCCTATAAATACAATGTACACATTGTCATCCTAAAAAACTGGATTTGGGCATGGAAGTTACTCCTGAAGAGTTAGAGGATAAGATAAACCATACTTACTTGGAAACAATTCCATCATTTTTTGCCAGGCGCAGAATGGAGTCGTCTGATTCCCCCTTTAGAAAGCAACAAAAAAAGAATTTTCTGAAGTGTCCAAATAATTGCTGACACACATGGAAACGAGAGGCAGCTGCAGCAGTTAGTGCTGGGAGGGAAATGCACAACTATAGATCCATATATTTTATATGCACAGATTAGTGTTTGCAAAACAAGCTGTTAATTCTTTGTTATCCTTTAGGATAAGAAATAGCTTTAACTTGATAAAATCAACACTTGCATTAAGAAGATCTATTTCTAGGTAAGCAGAATTGTGAGGAACTCTAGGAAGCTTCACACCATATCTAAGTCATGGTAGTATCATCTCCAATGATTGTAAAAAAAAAACCCTGATAAAAGCCAAGTGTTAGTATCTTAGTACATTCTTAAAACAATCCTTCATACTTCAGTGATTTAAAAAACACAAATATACATCACCCTACAAACCAAACAACTAAGCAAACAAAAAAACAAACCTAGAAGAAACTGATTATTATGAGTTAATTTGAGGCAGTGTCACAGGTTGCCCAAAGAAGCTGTGGCTGCTCCATCCCTGGAAGTGTTCCAGGCCAGGATGGATTTGGCTTGGAGCAACCTGGGCTAGTGGAAGTTGTCCCTGCCCATGGCAGGGCAAGTGGAACAAGATGAGCTTTAAGGTCCTTTCCAACCCAAACCATTCTGTGATTCTATGAATTCATTCATGTCTTCACTTTACATTCATAAACCCCACAGAAGGTCTTGCTCCAGAATGAGCTGAAGGCACATTGTGTTTCCAGAGCCAAATATACATCTAAATAATCACTAATCACCACAAAAGGAAGCACAATCACTCACTCTGGAGGTCAGGAGAGCACTTACCATTCTCCGGATGGGGCCACAAATGGCATATGTCTTGAACTGGCCATTCACTCTGCCTGTCACCTTGTCAACCTGTAATTAATTACAGGCAAATTACTGCACACAGATCCTCAGGAATCTTCCATCACACTTGCCAAGCACACGAAGTTAAAAACTGTAGAAAAACACTTGCAGTATTGACCAAATAAATAACCTCCAAAAACTCAAGGCAATTACTGAAGTTAGAAAGTCAACTACAGATGAACTTTTCACAGCAAATTTAGAGTTAATTACACAGTGCAGCTATAAAACTGAGAGAGTCACAGACAGAATAACAAGGGGTAGCTAAAGGAAAAAAAATATTTGAGTTCTGAACAAATGGAAAAGTTCGATGTAAAGTTTATTTGTGGATTTTCCTGCCTTCGGTATTTTTTCCTGTTTCTTTTAACCAAGGTCAGTATCATGGAAAATTGAACTGAGGGGGGAACGGGACAGACTTGTTACACAGGTAGAAAAACACCCAAGTTGAGAGACATAAATTGTCTCACTTTCTCCAGCTGCTGAGAAATCCAGCAGGAAAAAAGACTAAGAAATCTGAATAATGAATTTAAACAGTGAACTCTCTAATACCAGGGGGTTTGTTTCCATGTTCTACTTATCTCTGATCCTTTGAAAACAAGAAATAGGGACCACTGAGGAATGAAACATGGTGAACAAGTAAAGCATTTGTATTGTCATTTACAGGAAATCACAAACAAAGCATTTTTTAACATTATTTTGGTTTTAGTCAGATACCACAATATCATCATACACTTCTGTTAAGAAACTGACCTCAGAAATATTTATCTGAATGGAAGCATGATCCTTGGCACCAATGATTCGGTTGCTAGCAGAGCTAAGGAAACAAAAGGAAACAGTGACAATGACCAAAAAATCCTACTAAAGTCAAGTCTACAGGCAAATTAAAACTGCATAAAAATTTAGACAGTAACAGTTTTAGCCTTCAGTACTTAGAAAATTCAAATGCAGCTTTAAGTGCATTTAAAGGAAACATTCACTTGGTAGCACCATACTAAGCTGCCAACTATCTCTTCACTTTGGTTTCTGTATGCTCAGTTCACCCTCAGCAGCAAAGGCCTTCAAAACACAAAGATTGTTATTTCCTTTTCTAAAATGCAGTAAATACAGCAACTAAGTTAATTCATGAGCATGCAGTTTCTATGCCTTTCTCACTGGGAGCCATTACAACTGTCAAAGACATTCAGGTTGTAAACCAGATTTGACTTAAACCTATGAAAGTGCATATAAATGGTTTATTGTTCAATGATTTTTTTAACATAAACACACTTAGAAAAAGCTTCTCACTGTCCATTTACTACAATGCCCAAAGAGCCATTATCATGTGCTATCAAGACAAGATGTGATTATTTAACAGGTTCAGCTGAGCTTACAGCACAGTCATTGAAACACTTGTAAACTACACTCATATTGACTTCTGATATGAACTGTGAGGGTGCTGAGACACTGGCACAAGTTGCCAAGAGAAGCTGTGTCTGCCCCATCCTCGGGAGTGTTCAAGATTGGATGGGGCTTGGAGCAACCTGGTCTAGTGGAAGGTGTCCCTGCCCAGGGCAGAGGGCTGGAATAGGATGACCTTTAAAGTCTCTTCCAACCCAAACCATTCCATGCCTTATATGCACTCACTGCCACTACACTACAGTAGTTTTGGAACAGGAGATGCAGAGTGCTCTCCTCAAATGCAGTCGTTGCTTCACATACTTTACGTTAGGTACTTAGAAAAACAGCAACTGTTAGAAAACTGATTTTTTTTGGGCTGGAATAGGATGACCTTTAAAGTCTCTTCCAACCCAAACCATTCCATGCCTTATATGCACTCACTGCCACTACAGTTTGGTAGTTTTGGAACAGGAGATGCAGAGTGCTCTCCTCAAATGCAGTCGTTGCTTCACATACTTTACGTTAGGTACTTAGAAAAACAGCAACTGTTAGAAAACTGATTTTTTTTTCTCCAAAAGAGTATTTGCTGCTACGAAAAACCTCTTTGCACAGGCTGCACCAGCCCCAGGTCAGGCTCCAGCCCAGCCCCTGGGGTACCACTCACCATTTCCGAGGGACATAAAGGTCCACGAACTCCCCAGCGTCGTTCTGCATCTCGTCTGGGTCCTCACTGAGGCACAGGCACTAAGCAGTAACACCTGGAATGTTACACAGAATATCCTGAGTTGGAAAGGACCCACAAGGATCACCAGTTCAACTCCTGACCCTGCACAGGACACCCCAAAATCCCACCATGTGCCTGGGAACGTTATCCAAATGCTCTCTGAGCTCTGTCAGGCTTGGGGCTGTAACCACTGCCTCAGGGAGCTGTTCCAGTGCCCAAACACCCTCTGGGGGAAAAACCTTTTCCTAAAGCTCTGCCAGGGGAGGGTTAGGTTGGATATTAGGAAGAGATTTTTACAGAGAGAGTGATCACACATTGGAATGTGCTGCCCAGGGAGGTGGTGGATTCACCATCCCTGGAGGTTTTAAGATGTGACTGGACATGGCATTTAGTGCCATGGTCTAGTGACCACGATAGGATTGGACTCAATGATCTTAGAGATCTCTTCCAACCAGGCTGATTCTATGATTCTAATCATAGTATCAGGTCGGAAAAGACCTCTGAGACCATCAAGAACCTATGACCTAACACCACCACATCACCCAGACCATAGAACAGAACCACAGAACCAACCAGGTTGGAAGAGACCTCAAAGATCATCGAGTCCAACCCTACCGTGGTTACTAGACCATGG